CACACACACACACACACACACACACACACACCTATTCCTCTTCCTAAGAGAAAGTGGAATTGATAAGTACATTACACTAAGACCCTCACCAACCTTATGAAAGCTTCCGTAGAACATTTTCCTGATGTCTGGTCCTTCAAAAGTAACAGTTTGAAAATCTCCAGTATAGTCATAGTTGAAATAAGTTAGAGTTTTTCCACCATCTAGTCAAATAAAGAAAAGCCAGATATTTCAGAAATAACTTAAACTGGTAAATAACTTTTTCCTAAAATCCAGCTTGACAGAAAATAGTGAATCCATCATTTTGAAACCATATCAAAAACAAAAGGAGGGGGATGAGACACCGAACAGTCCTCAGGTTGTTACAGGCTTTCAGGTGGCTAAAGTACTTGACTTCATGCCATGTGATGATGGAGAGATCAGGAACCTACATGTCCCCTCCCCTCACACCTCTATGCCTCAACTCTTATCCACATCACTTCTTGAGAACAGTCATCAAAGCTTAGAGTGAAAGGAGATAAAGAGAGAGAACATTATCAATAAATATTAGGAAAGAAAAACTAGACATATTGTCTTACTATTCCACTACAGACACTAACTTTCCCAGGAAATGACGTATTACCACACTGATGTCTCCTTTGTTATGAACAAATAAAAGCTTCCTAATCTTCTGGCCTTTGTCTTACAAGGAATTTTCATTATTAAAACTAAACACACTTTTTTTTTTCTCAACAGTGCTTTGTTACACTAAAATTTAATTCTCACTTTACTTTTAAGTGAACACTCTGACCAAAAGCAATCTAGAGGAAGAAAGAGTTTATTTAAACTTACCGGTCACAAGTCCATCATTAAACTCCAATTAATTAGCCAAGTCTTTTTTGCTATTCCATATAACCAAAAAACACAGCAGGAACCATGGAAGATGCTACTTGGTGGTTTGTTAGCAGACTCATGCTTATATAGCACAAGACCCCTTCATAGGCAAAGTGCTGCCCGAAGTGGGCTGGACTTTCGTATGTAAATTAACAATCAAGATACTCCCCCACAGATGTGCCCACAAGCCAATCCAATCTGGAAACTCCCTTATTTGAGACTCCCTTATCATGTGACTCTCTGCTATGTTAATTGACTGTTAAAGCTAACTAGGACAGGGAGCAAACTCACTTTAGCCATTTTAGGACTTCTTTATTTTGAAGCCCAGAGTGCATATGGAGTGAATGACTTAACCCCCGTAGATTCTTCTTAGTTTCAGTATCAGTGCAAAAGGATTCCCCCATACTGTTCGATTGTTGATTGACTTCCATACATTTCCCATTGCTTGGAAGTCAGAAACCAATCTCCTAATTCAATTGTTTGAGTCAGTAAGCAGAAAGACCTTTCAGGGTTTGGCTCGTGCCTTCATTCTAATTATGAGACTTACTAAACTCTGTGAGCATCTCATGTTACACTTCCCAGCAGGACAGGGGAAGTTTTCCTAGCTGGTTCCTCTTCATATTTCCAGCCTCCAAGCATCTCAACACATGCACTTCTCATTTTCTCAACAATAGCATTTGGTAGCACACACACAACTTGCAAATGTATATCTCTATCCCAGAATTCTTTCCAAATACAATGCTGCCAAATTGGCCTCCTCTATGGAATATCAAATTGGCACATGTATTTATCATATCATGTCAAATAAATTAACTTCAGATCCCGCCTCTGCAAATAACCCTGCCCCCCCCCCCAATTTTGCTCTGCCTGCGGTATTCACTCTCTAGTAGATACTACTTGTCTTGCTTTACAAAGCAGGAACTCATTGAGCATTTCTTGAAAGAATAGGTTAATAAGTGAATGAATCAATGATTTTATAACTCATTGCTTGTTGTTCACACAACAAGCAACATGAAATGGTATGAGGACATGCCACATGCATTATCATGGGTATAGCAAATGCTACACATATACACTTACTGTCTAAAATAATCCCAACCAGTGGGTCGGAATTTTTATTTAAAATCTCCCAAAGAGCAAACGGCTCCTGTGGAGTGTCAGGAAGGATCCGGAACAGGAAACTCATTGTATAGTCAGAAGGCAGCCCTTCCGGATGCAGATACCTGATGGTGGAATGAAAACAATGCCTTATTGTAGATTTCTTGACAAAGTCATCCTGTGACCATACAGTAATACTCTTTCATTATGGAAGCTTTGAAAACCAGGAGGAGACTGCCGTGAATCCCCATCAGATCACTGTGTTAGGCTATCTGGTAACCCAGAATTGGGGACTTTCCCCATTTCCACCTCCCAATTAGCTTTGGCAGTGCTTGGGTTTCAGACATACACCACTGAGTCCATTTTTCACATGGGTTCCAGGTATTTGGACTCAGCTCATCAGGCTTGCAGAAGAAACTCATTTACCAGTTACATAAGCTCCCTGCCCCATCTGTGGATTTTACCTCAAGCCATTGGTGTCTCTGAGTTTTCATTTCAAATTTCAGAGTTGTTTAGGGGCATGAGACTTAGCATAAATCAAGATTTAGAAAACACGTGGTCCACTGTATTACTATGTAAGCATCCATTACTTTTACATTTTCACAGATGAAATTATGCTAAACTTCACCCAGAGTTATAGGATGGGGCTGATGTTTTATGTTAACCTATGTTAATAGGTACATGCATGCCTAATGTCCAAAGGGGCCAGAAGAGGTCACCAGGTCCCCTGGAAATAGAGTTACAGATGGCTGTGATCTGTTAAGCGGGTGCTAGGCATTGAACCCTCTGGAAGAGCAGCTAGTGCTCTTATCTGCTGGCTGAGCTATATTTTTCAGCCCCAGGGTTGTTTTTAAACAAAGAACTATAAACATCATTTGCTCTAAACATCATAGAAAATCTTACCACAAACTATCACAGTAAATTACAAATTGACATCGTTTTTTTCCCATTGAGATATAATAAACATATGATTAACTTTAGCATCTTGCAAGGAAAACATACTTGGTTGGCTGGGAAACCAGAGCATCTTTGTGGATTTGATAACATGGGAACAGATTGAAGGTGCCGGGTTCCATAGAAACTCCTTCCACTGCAGAAAAGTCTTTTTCAACCAAACCAAACATTTCCATCATCTTAAATCCTAAGGTGGTAAGAGAGGGTATAAGAACAAACAGGAGTATTTTTTAATTTTCTACTAAATATTTAAAAACAGGCAGCTGGACCCCAATCAAGTATTGATCAAGATTTCTGTTTAAAGTGTTCTGATAATGATGGTGTTTGTGTAGATTCATAGAGGTTGGTTTTGGTAGGGTGGCCATTTTTACTGTATTAATCCTACTGATATATGAGCATGGGAGATCATCCCATCTTCTGATATCTTCTTCAATTTCATTTTGCAATGGCTTAAAATTTTCATCATACAAGTCTTCACTTGTTTGATGAGAGTTACCTCAAGATATTTTTTCAAGGCTATTGTGAAAGGTATTGTTCCTCTGATTTCTTCTCTTAGTATATTTGTCATCTGTTCTATAGAAAGGTTACTGATTTTTTTTAGTTAATTTTGTATCTAAATACTTTGATAAAAGTGTTTCTCAACTGCAGGAGTTTCCTGGTGGAATTTTTGGGTCACTTATATATGCAATTATATCATCTACAAATAAAGATACTTTGACTTCTTCCCTTCCTATTTGCATCCCTTTGATCTCCTTAAGTGATCAATAAGCAAGCTACAATCCTCATCACAACACAGGCTGGGTATAGACTATGGAGTAGAAATGGATCTAGAAAGGGAAAATGGGGGAGTTGTATGGATGAGGAAAGGGACGGAACGGAGAGGGTTGAATGGGGAGGAGGAGGGAAGGATGCAAGGGAGTGAATACAAAGAAGAACAGCTAAAAGTAAGGACCATTTGAGAAGCCATGAGGAAACTTGATGCAGTAGAAGCTTCCAAAAATATGTATGTGTATGAAGGTGATCTAAATAAAATCACTAAGTAACAGGGAGACAGGGTCCCAACTGGGCAGCTATTATAACTGAATAAAACTTCCAGTATCAGGAATAGACTTCATCTAATTGAGATGTCAGCCAAATGGAAACCCCCAAAATAACTCAGACTATTGCAAAAGACATGGGTTACTCTCTATTAAACTGACAATAAGGTCCTATTGTTGAACACAACACCTACACAAATCACTGAACATGGAGCTGGTGCCTACCTAGAGCCTTCAGCCCTATGGGCTAGTGTTCAAGGTACTGGAACATACTCTGCATGCTACTAAAGAAGAAAGGTAAACTCCACCCCAGCTACAAAACCTTTGGTCTACAGGGATGACCTGCCTGAAAATGTGTTAGTGCAATAGGGGTTCAAGGCTTGTGGAAGTAACCAACCAATAGATGATAGGATCTAAGGCTTGCTAGTGGACATTGCTTGGGTAGCCAAGAACCTGAAACTAGATAGGGACCTAGAAGAAAACGAAATACTACTGCTATGCTAAAGGAATCGAGCCATATAATGACTCCTAACAACATTCTTCTATAGTCTTAGATCTATGCCTTGCTCAGCCATCACCAGAGAAGCTTCCTTTTACACTAGATGGGAACAAATGCAGAGACCCACAGCCAGACAATGTACAGAATGTGAGAGACCTTAGAACACTCAGTCCTAAATGGGGTATTTCTATCAAATGCTTCCCCTGAGGATTCACAGAACCCTATGGGAAAGGAGAAGGAAGATTCTTTATGCCTGAGGGGATGGAAGACAGCAAGGAAACAAGGCCATCCTGAACACAGCAGGACCAGAACACATTGAACTCCTAGAGACTATGGCACCAAGCACAGGGTCTGTGTGGGTCTTAACCAGATGCAATGCCAGCACTGAGAGAAGAGAACACACACCTCCATCCCTAGCCCAGAGGCTATCTCTAGTTTATAACCACTCCCCAGTGAAAAACTCAGTTTCTCCAACAGAGTTTCACTGGGTCCCATGCTCAACAGTAGATGCCAAAACACAAAAGTAACTCAGCGGCATCGCTGGAGGTTCTTTGTCTCATATCTTGTCAGGGCCTTTAAAAAACAAAAACAAAAACAAAAACAAAAACAAAAAAACACCTTACAAGTCTTTTGCATATATATTAAGGCTTCTGTTTTTATGGGAATCCTGTGTGTGTCTCTATATCTCTATGTGTTTCTTGTGCTTTTTCTCCTGTTTTTCTGGGAATCCTGTGTGTGCAAAGGTGTGTGTCTCTACATCTATGTGTTTCTTGTGCTTTTTCTTCTCCTGTTTGTTTTGCCCTATTTGTCCCTGTTTTTGTTATTTTATTATCATTCTTTAGATGCCTATGTGTTTTCTCACAAAAGAAAGAAACTGTGGATTTCAGATGGGACGAGAGGAGGGGATCTCAGAGAAGTTGAGAGAATGGAAACCATAATCAGAATATATCATATGAAAAAAGAACCTTTATTTTTAATCAAAGAAAATAGGAAAAAATGTGGCAACACATACCTGCAAGATCAATCCCATCCTTGTGCACCATTGGGCAGGCTGAAAAGCAATGAAAGCAATGTGAAAGCCCAGCTCACGCGTCTTCCACATGTATGGTCTCATTGTTGAGAGCACAGGAAATTAGCATCATCTTCCCTAAGCTTCCCACGCCAGAACTGCAGTGGGGATAGCTTTAATATGATGCTGCTAATGTCCCGTTTAGACCACAGGGCCATAGCTTCCTACCACTCTCCCGGATCCGCTAAATCAACTTGAAAGCACAAGTTGAAAGATGTTTTAATTAAGACATCTTTGAAAATGATTTCCTCCATTTGTTTGCTTTTGCTTTGTTTTATTTTGTTTTAAGATGGGGTCTTGCTATGTAACCTTGTCTGATACTAAGTATTCCAAGCTGGCCTCAAACTTGGGGCCATCATCCTGTCTTAAGACTCCTGTGTTTAACACAGATTGTCCTCACTTGGGAAGGTCTTCATAATCCCAAACTTCTAAAGGCAGGAGACAAAATGTTTACCTCACATGCTCAAACCCATGGGACTTAAATAGTAAATAGTAAATAGCCCTGGGTGTCAACAGGCCTTCCTCAGCTCTAGATGGGACTCCTTATTTAGCCCGTGTTAGATATCTCAGATTTCACACAACACTCAGGAATACAAGTTCAAAAGAACTAACTTGCTGATGCAGTTTCACAGACAAAAGTAATTAATTCATCTTCAATTTTCTTGAAGGCGTCAAAGTCATCCACGAAGAAGACGTGCCGGGAGCTGGGTTTGCTGCCAATCCGAACCAACTCCGAGTAGTCAGCATCAGCCACACCGATGGCAAAGATGTTGTAACCTGTGAGTGACACATGACCAACATTTGATTACTTAAAACGTCACCAAGTACAAACAATGAAAGATGCTGGATGTCCAGATGATTAAATTGTGATCATTTAGGAAGCCCAGGAGGAGTGGCTAATTCATTTTTTACTGTTCATCAGAATTCTTCATGTGCATATTTCCTTACATGAAAATAACTTCATCATCCCCTGAAGAAATTTTTCATAAAAAAACCTCAACAAAGCTAAAGCCCCAGGTGGAGAATAAGCCAGAATGGTTCCCATTTGAGCAACATATTTACAATTGTGTATTTTTAACAGTTATTCTGACATCTGTGGTATGAGGTGCTATTTAAGCAGTAATGGTTTGTTTTTGTTTCTTTTTTTCCCCCTTTAGAAGTACAGCTTAAGGTCTAGCAGTCTAAACAAAGTCACCATGTAAAAACTGGCACGTAAGTATTAAACTACTGTTGCTAAGCATATCATCTTAATCTCTTTCCTGTGACCAAATATCCTGACAAAAGCCACTTAAAGGAGGAGTCACAGTCCATCACAGCAGGGATGTCAGAGCAGCAGCAGGAGCCTGAGGGAACTGGTCACATTGCATCCACCGTCAGGAACCGAGAGCAAAGAATGAACACATGCTAATGCCCAGCTCACTCTCTCATCTTTCGTTCCGGGCTCAGCCCATGGGATGGCACCACCCCTATGCAGCATGGGCCTCCCTATGTGAACCCAAGTAAGAAAGCCCCTCACAGGTATGCCTACGTGCCATCTAAATTCCCCTCACAGGCCACCTAATCGCCTCATAGCACAACCACCCCCCAACCTAATCCCCCTCACAGGCACGCCCACGGAATCGTAAATGCTTGCAATTCTAAGATCCATGTGATCCACTGGGGAATATTTAATGAAGCTGATAGGAATGTGTGCTTGGTGCCAGTATTGTTCTCAGTGGCCATGGTGGTGCCTATACGAGAACCTTACCATCTGCCTGCATTTCCCTGGAGATTTTGTTGACGTCATCTTGCGATCTTCCATCAGTTATAACCACGATAACCTTCGGGATGCCTCTCCTCGTACCTGACTCTACAGTGAATAAGGTATCGCGAACGTGCTTGATAGCTTTTCCTGAAACAAAGAATCAACAGTTCTGTTTCACTCCTCCACTTGCTTCCACAGACAGAGAAGGGGTGGGACAGAGATGTAACAACAATGAAAAATCATTGTGTCTTGGGAGCTGAGGCTGCCACTCAAGGGGGAGTACCTGTGAGGGATGTGTATGGCCCTGGATTCCATACTCAGCACCAAAAGAAACAAACAAGCCTCATAACAAAAGTCATCCTCAAGTTTCTTTTGCTGGGCATTGTTTTGTCAGTGTTTGTCTGTTTGGGTCTTACCTGTTTTAGTATTTCCTCCTTTGTAGGAAATGCGTCTGATTGCATCAAGAAGTGTCTCCTTGGTTTTGTATGCATCGAGTTTGAATTCTGTTCTGGGGTCATCAGTGAACTGAACCATTGCCACCTGGAGATGGAGGGTGTATCCACTTTTACACAGGTAGGGACTTCCACAAGGTCAGAAAACATCACACAGTAGCATAGTAGCAACCATCATTTAAATTTCTTCTTTAACCTAATCTTTCCATTAAATTTTCATAGAGGTAAAATATCAATTTAGTGGCAAACTAAATTTCAAGTTCTAGGTGCATATTGAAAGCTAGAATTTTTACAATTTCTTTCTAACGGTTGTAGCACTTTTATCACTTCCTTTAACAAGCCAAAATTGACCTCCTAAGTCTGGCAACTGGGTGGGCCCCAGAACCATGATTATATTCTTTATATAGAGCTTCCTATGACACAAACATGAAGTCACTACTAGGATTCCACCCACTGCACAAAGAAATGGGGGCACAGGAAATAGGGTCAAGTTCAAGAGCAAACAGCTGAAGCCAACGCCATTCTAGTTCAAAACCCGTGATCTCACTCATTGCTGCATAAATCTTGCTACCTTAATTTCCTACAGTTTACTTCTATTCCTGTGGCACTATGGGACAGTTTTGAGTTGAACAATGAACTATAGACATGTGTTGGACGGATGAAACAGGTTCATATTCTACATGATCCTTAGAAATGTGTGACCATGACCTGGCCTCTGACTTTCAAGACTTCCATGCCCTTCGGGGCAGGGAAAATAGCATGTGTAAAGGAAATACTCTGCCTTAATATAAAATAAATATGCCCTAATGTCCTTCCCACCATCTTTAATTTGGTAATCTCGAGAGCTCTGGGAGGGACGTCCAACCTTTTGATGTTGTAGTATGAGTCTGTCATCTACAAATGAATTGGGCTGCATCATAGCATGTATTCATGAGCAACAGGTTGGACACGCCTATAAGGATTAGCATTTCACAGTTCTTTGATTACATCCCCTGACAAGTGGTCAAAGTAAGAGACTGTGAAATAATTCCTGGATGCATAGGATAATGTAATGCTTGGCTGGTTAACCTTACCTGAGTTCCATCAGCACCAATCTTATCCAGGGCTCCCACAGTGCTATACAGAAAATTGATGATCTTATTGAAATTGTCATCCCCGATACTCCAGGATCCATCCACCATGAATACTAGGTCTGCCTTGGCAGCTTTACATACTGAAGACCAAGAATACAGTTTGAGTCAGAGGTGAGGGGAAAATACCATCTCTATCAAGCCAAAAGACAGGTAGCAGATACCTTCTGGTAACTAAAGCTCTTTCCAAATGGAAAAACATAAGCTATTAAGATTCCCCATGCATGTTTCTAAAACTGTATCATCATTATTTCCCTTTCATGCCCATTTATGACTGAGAACAGGGAAGAGAATAAATCCAGTGATCACTGCAAAGAATAAAAACGAGGACTAGAACTGGAGGTGAAAAGAATGTAGAGACAGAAGCAAGCAGCCAGCATTATCTAATAATGTCCATGGATATCTGCTTGTTGAGTCTGAGTTTATGTCAGAGGAGTCAAGCTCAGGAGGAAGACGTGATACAGTGGAATCAGATAAACTACAATTTGGGTTAGGATATGATGAAATAGCTAAACTGCCCACCCAGCATGTTCAAAGATCCCTAGCACTGCCTAAAACTGAGCATGGCAGCCCATGCCTATACACCCGGCATTGGAGAATTATAGGCAGGAGCTTCATAAGGTCAAGGTCATTCTTGGCTAATGACAAGTTTGGTGGAGCCTACGCTACATGAGACACTGACTTTTAAAAAAATCTACAAGTCATTGGGAATAAGCACAAAGTTTAATAACTGCATTACTCAAAATTTTTCCCTATGTCCTTTTACCATCCACTGACAAATGTCCAAAAAATGTACAATAATACCTGTAGAAGGAGGCCATCGTCAGTACATTCTATGGATAATGACATAATTAAAGGCCACACAATAATATAACCAAGGCCCTTCTCCATTAAAAGCACCCTTTCAAGGCCTCACCCTCCCCTGGGGAGCAGAAAGGGATTGGTACAGAGGGTGGGTGGGGGGCAGGGGAGGAGGGGAGGGAGAGGGAACTGGGATTGACAT